CTGCAGGCTGCCCCAAGATTCATTCAAACGCTATACCAGCACTACCTCAGAGGCTCAGAGCCTCGCTTTGCCGACTCCAACGAAGCGGAAGCGGAGTCGAACGCTGTGTGTGGCAATGGGGTGCCAAAGCGCCAGAGCAACATTTTTGTTTTCTTTTTTTTCTTTTGGCTGCCGCCGCCAGGCGGCGCCAGCCTATGTGGTCTGGTAGCGCTAGGTTAGGATGTCATTTGCTGCGAAGGAACAAATACGAAGTTACAAAGCCATTGTTAGTAATGGGTTTTACATAATAATGCAGTTAAATGCAGTTACGCTACCGTACTAGTCCGAAGTCGTGGTGCTGCGGTATCACTTTTCATTCGCATCTTGAGTGAGAGCCACATCGTAACGGTGGTGGTTTCGTACGTATGCCATAGTTTTTTTTTTTGTCCGCTTCCTTCCCCTACTCATTGTGTGTCAAAGACCACGACTGTATCGACTGCGTGTTCGGCTCACATGGTGTACTATTCTTTCGCCTTTTACTAAAGAATATCGTGAGCTGGTCACACAAAGCAGTTTACGTCAATTTTTGACCGCTTGCCGCTCCGGAGGCGAGCCATTTAAAAAAATATATAAAAAAAAATAAAAAGACCACGACCGTTACGTTCGTCCTCCATTTATCACAACGGTACAGGTTTTTCCAACCAGTCTCCTTTGCAACAGCCTGAGGGCTGGGCTGCATTGGGGAGAGAGAGAGAGAGAGAGAGAGAGAGAGAGAGAGAGAGAGAGAGAGAGAGTAGAGGCAGAAGAGGGTTGAAGATGGACAAAACGATTGGTTGATTGACGAGCGAAGAGTTGCACTGATTGATTTGGAGATTTTTTGCAGCTGAACTCAATAAATATTCGAGCAAATAGATTTGAAATCATTTGATTCATGCGAAGTATGGAGCCAAGTCGTCGGGCCAGCAGGAGGGGCCACAAGATTGATTGCGTGGACAAGCACTAACCTACCTGTCAGTGACCCCTCCATTTTGACCAAACACCAAGCTCTTCAGCAGAACACCATGATCGACACCCATGCTGGGACACTCTTGAGATGCTTACTACCCACAGTAACTGTTCCTGACTTTAAAAAAAAAAAAAAAAAAAAAAAAGAAGAAGAAAACAAGGAAAAAAGAAAGAAAAAATAATAAGAAGAAGAAGAAATAAGAAAAAGAGTTGACTCTTGAGTTTACTAACCTTCTGAGGGGGCGCCGGCTTCTTTCCTGCGGCAGGTTTCCCTCCTGGGCCAGGCTTCCCTTCAACCTTGTTCAGGACTGGCGGCAAACAGCCAAACAGCCAAACAGCAAAGCACCGAACAGCACACAGCACACAGCATACACTCTGTCTCTTATACACATCTAGATGTGTATAAGAGACAGGTGCAAAACGAGAGTGAATCTTCGCTAGAAACATGGCGAGATACGCCGCCGTGATTTTTGTATTTTGTGCATGTCGAGAGTAGTGCATCGATGCCCTGTGACTGTGGTTTTTGCGGGTTCAAAGACTTGGGCCTTGCCGCAGGACGACTCACCAAATGCTCAAAAGACAAAAATGATGGCGGTGCATCTTTCCATGCACTACCGGTAGTGGAAGATTCATTCTAATTGTGTAGGCAAAAATGATGGCCGTGCATCTTTCCATGTACTAGTGGAAGATTCATTCTCATTGTGTAGGCAAAAATGATGGCGGTGCATCTTTCCATGTTTCCATGTCCTATTGGAAGATTCCTTCTCATTGTGCACATTGGCAGGCTGCTCAGTTGATGCACACATGAAACTGTTCAATTGTAGACGTGAGCTCGAATCAGCGACCACAATAAAATGGTTCTGATTTACAAAGGATCCAAAGGCTGTCTCTTATACACATCTAGATGTGTATAAGAGACAGGCCATGTTTCCATGTCCTATTGGAAGATTCCTTCTCATTGTGTACGCAAAAATGATGGCTGTGCATCTTTCCATGTACTAGTGGAAGATTCATTCTTATTGTTGTGTACCTTTGCTGACTGAGTAAGTGCCGCCAGGCCTTTCAAGTTCGAAGTGGAAAATGCATCATTCACCAACCAAGCTGTGACAACTGGAACTTCCTAGACCCCCCCCTCCCCCCAAAAAAATAAAAACATCCTGTAAAATATGAAATGCAAATTATGCAATGCAATAACAGCTGTCCAAAAAAAAATATATATATATATATATGAAATGCACTGCAATGACAGCTGCCAAAAAAAAAAAAAAAAACACGGCTGTCAATTTTGTGTCAACTTCCAACCCAAAGGAGCGTGTGAGATTTCTAGTCTTATTTATTATGAGTCTTTTTATGACAATAATATTATGATAATGACCAGTGTCTCATTTCGACCCTGGATGATGTGGCATGTGTGTGGCATACAGCCACTCCCGGCCTTGGAAACTACGGGTGTAAAAAAAAAATAAAAAAAAAATAATAAAATAAAAAATAAACAAAAAGGAAACTACGGGTGTAGGCCTCACTGGCCATCGGCACGCACCCTCGTGACGCAGTATAGCTTGCAGTGGGGGACACACACACACATTACCAGAAATGGAGGGCAGGTTCATGCTCTCTGCCTTACGGCCTGGGTGCACTGCTTGCCATCCGCCAAAATTCTGAATGAATCTCAACAGGGAAATCTGTCCTGATGCATTCGAAATGTTGACCCCTTGGCTCTGGAACTCTCGACGACGAAGAAATGTTGATTCCACAGCCATTCATAATGATCATGAATTTTTCATGTGCAATAGTTTTAGCTGTGATTACTTGTGACACTCGACGTCACTCGTACACAGCACAGCTTGAATGAATTTACCCCAATATGAGTGTCACATTCAACCTTCGTCCATTCGTGTCGACCCAATAAATATATTTGTTGATTCCAGCTTAAATACTCTTGTTCTGCCCTTTATCGGCTACACGATAACTGCGTGCTCTGGCATATGACATTGTGAAATCGTGTGATTCCCAAAAAAAAAATAAAAAAAAAAATAATAATAATAATAATAATAATAATAATAATAAAAAATCGTGTGATTTGCCATCTTGTAAGTAGACCCAATCATCATTGTTGAGTGACCCAGTATAATGATGGTATATCATTTGTATGAGTACACACAAAGTACAAGATGAGTGACATCGACTGTCACAAGCAAACTTCGTCCGTTCGGTTCGTGTAGAGACCCACTGAATGTTCATTCCAGCAAAAAATTGAGTGACTCAACAATTGGATTGTATCATTTGTGTGAGTAAACACGAAGTACAGAAAAACGTTTTCTCAGTAGCGGTCACGGTGGGGTTAAGCCTGGGCGGAGAGCCTGGCTCATCCCTCGCAGGCCGTGATTATTTTGATGTGAGAGACGCTGGGCCCGGTTTTTTTTTTTTTTTTTTTTTTTTTTTTTTAATCTGGGCCCGTTTCCCAGGCTGTGATGATATAGTAAAAAATCCCTTTTGCTTGTTAAACCACAAGTACTTGGCCCAGCTATCGGCCGCGGAAAAAAAAAGAGTAGAAACATTTCTTGTGGGATGAATTTGGGCGCTCCTGTAGTAGCCCGTACGTGTCCTAAGATCGGGGCGCGTTAACGGGCACGACTCTAGGAAGTATTGGTGGTAAAAAAAAAAAAAAAAAAAAAAAAAAAAAAGAGGGTACAGGAAGTACATGATTGGTTGGCGTAACGCCTGTGGGTAATGGCACCCTGACCGGTTTCCACGGCCGTCACACAGTCCGCCTCCGGGGGCCAGGGCCCACTAGCAACAAGGATTGGATTGAATGAACGCCTGAATCTAGACCTGTTCGCGAAGAGATTGAACTGCTTTTCTGCATCTCTGCTTAAAACACGTCCAGATTCAGGATATTTATCCAATCCTCTTTGCTAAGTGGGACCTCGCCCCGGGGGAGTACCGCCAAACTTGGTCCCTCCGTGGAACTCCTACTTCCCTGAGTTCCCTCGTCTCCCACCTCCACCCGTTGAGCTGCGCTGCTGCCATTCATGCAGCAATAAGCCAAAGTGTTTAACCGAACGTGTAGCTGTGATTCTTTTTTTTTTTTTTTTTTTTTTTTTTTTTTTTTTTTTAAATGTACTCCCACACATAATGGACCACGGATCAGCTATTAAACTGATCAGGAACAGAGACTACACACTTTCATGTATTGTTTTTGCGAAAAGGCCGAGAAAGGTATTAGTTGTGAATTTCTCCGTTTTTTTTTGTTTTTTTTTTTGCAATACAACTGAAAATTTGGGGGAACTTGTAAAATGCCCCTGAAAGATGCAGTGGTATATCGTCGGATGCCCCTCAAAGATGGGGTATTGGCCGAATGCCCCTCCCCTCGTCTCTCTCACAGTGTCTTTGTCGGCATGGCCCTGTCAGCATCGTTTAATTTTGGGCCATGCCACAATGGGCCTGGGGGTTTGTCAAGCTGAATTGGTGCCAGGCAGGCCCGGGTAGAGGGGTAAATGGAAAAGATTGACGCCTGAGGTCCAATCTTAAAGGGTACAAAAAAAAAAAAAAAAGGGTGACGGCCTTGAGATATCACCATTGAGGTTATCAGGCCACCCTGGGCTGAAAAGGCCACCGTTGTCAGATTAGACACAAGATTGAATTTACCTGAGCTGGTTAGTCCGATGATAATACCTCAAGGCCATCGCCCTTTTTTTTAAAAAAAAAAAAGAAAGATATCACCATTGAACTGGAGTAGAAGACTGTACACCAAGCACACTCATGTACGCCAGATACACAGTGAACAGCAACAGGGACAAGGCCCAAATACAGCTGTAGAGATCATCAAAGCAACCGCTCGTTATAAACCACCACGTCAACCAGTGGTTGGTGAACAATGGTCAAAAGAAATTTCAAAATGATTGTCGTTCAGGTCATCTGATCGTATATCTGGATTCGAACTTGGGTCTGTATTTCAATTTCAATAGTTGGTTGGGAAAAAAAAAAAAAAAAAGTTTGCTGGGTGTACCAACTGAGATACACCCGTTGGCGTCAGGTGCAATCTATCTGAGTGTGAGATGGATATTTGGCCAAATCTACCCCCGTCCCCTGTCAGCAGGGCTTTCAACAAATACCCAAAAAACCTCTTTTAGGGGAACTGGACGACCTTTTTTTTTTTTTTTTTTTTTTTAATTGTTGGGGGTTGGGGGGCCGGCTGAAGTTGGAGTCAGATACCTTTCTCGGCGTTTTGGCTAAGATCAAGTGTAGTATCTGTTCTGATCAGTTTAATATCTGATCCGTGGTCCATCGGACCACACACACACAAAAAAAAAAAAAGTTGGAGTCAGTGGGGTTCCTAGGAACAAGGTAATAGGAGCACCTCCCTCCTTAAACGACTACGGTCTTCACGCGAATAGAACGCTGGATTGACGGCAACTTTCAGTCCAGATGCAGCGATCACGACCGGGCGTTTTTTTTTCCGATGAAGACCGCAGTACATGACCCCACCCTTGTGGCGATTTGCTCGTCACGCACTCCCACAGCCGTTCCGTTCGGCTCCATCCCGTTTCCGTGTCAGTGCCGGCAAAAAGGAGAAGGAAGGAAATGGACGCACTTTTTTTTTTCCCTTTTTCCTTAAAAAAAAAGAAAAAAGGTTACATTCTTCTCTCAATTTCACCTCACACTACCTACCGTTCCGTTCCGTTCCGTTCGTTTCCGTGTCAGTGCCTGCAAAAAGGAGAAAGGAAGGAAATGGACGCAGTTTTTTTTTCTTTTTATTCTTTTTTTTTTTTTTTTTTCCTTTTTTTTCCTTAAAAAAAAAAGAAGGTTACACTCTTCTCTCAATTTCGCATTACCTCACACACTACCTACCTACCAACCACTACTTCACAAGCTTTGGTCTGTCTTGGAAAAAAACAAAACAAAAAAAAGCTTTGGTCTGTGCAAACATAGACAAACTGAATCACGAAGTAGAATGCGAACGCACAATACACCGAGACAGCAAAAAAAAAAAATGCTTTGGTCTGTGCAAAGTTGTTTAAAAAAAGGTCACGAATTTTTTTCAAGTTTTTTGCATTATTTTACTCATTTAACTAATAAGATTTGAATTCGAATAGACTATGGTAGTCGGCGAGTCGCCGCGTTAAAGTCAGTAGGCCTACCGATATCGACCCTTTTTTTTATTATAAAGGCTAATTTATTTATTTATTTTTGAGGCTAATTCTTTTGAGTCCATATCATATCGACGATTTTGCCTGCCTGTAGTCTACACGGGGCCGGGGGGGGAGAGGGGGGGTTGAAGGGGGCAATGTTCCACTTGCGCGGATTGA